TATTGTTGGCTATGGAGATATCCAAAAAACACCATCATAAATCATGACCGTACATACGCCACATGAGCCAGGACCACCAGGCAAGGCTCCGGAGTTACCCAGGTACGCCAGGTAGTATTGTTGTGTCCGGGGAGGCCTCGTTCTCGGGTTACTTGAACGCATGTTTACCTGGCGCATTCCCTCGCTGTGCCGGGATAAAGTACAGCTCTTCATCGTATATATTTATTGTATTTATGTGCTTTTTTTTTTTTTCTAATAAATATCACTTTTACGATGTTTTGACACACAAAGTCAATTTCTTTTGTCTAACTTATATGTTCATTATTCTATTTTAGAATGATCCTGGTAGAGGTGAAAGGATCACCCTTCTCTCTCTCTCTCTCTCACCTTACCTTCCATCCTTCAACTGACCACCCACACTTCCTTCCGACTGCGAATACTCTCATTACACTTGAAAATATATCCACGACTTCCGTTCTCGTGATGGGTGGCCATGTGCTTTTGCGAATATATTAAGTCCTTTCGTATACTGAGTTACTTTACCACCCACTTAGGGGGAAAGACGAGAGAAGAAGGTAGGTATTCATTTACAAGAACAGGATTGCGTGTTATGAAATTTCTCCGAGTTATCAGTAACGTTAGCAAAAAGGACTTGGATTTGCTTGGCGAAGTAAATGGTAAAACAAAATTCACTTAGTAGATCTAGTCACAAAGATATAGAGGGAGTATTGGAATATCGGCATCATTGATAGCACAGTTTTCCCTGCTAATATACAAACATGGACTCACAATACCATAAAATGTTTGTATATCTTACTAGCTAGTCCATAAACATTTCATCATAGTATGAATGAGAATAATAACGAATAGTAAATCTACTTATGATGTGGAAAAAATTAACCTGATAAAGTAAATTACATCAGGAACAGCTGGGGCACTGCTGCGTCAGGCTGTCTTGCGATGATCCGTTAAAATTATCTGGAAATCATAGAAACTAGTAAGTTATATTGATGTTAGATACATGACAAGAGGATCAGATGTGAACGAATACGTAACCGCAGATGGCGAATGAGTATAAAAATCGGTGAATTTTTAGCGGGTGCTCGTTTTTTTTTTTTTTTTTTTCTTTCTTTTTACTTACTTTCTTTATTCATCTGTCTCCCTTGACCGAGAGTGAGCCTCCCTCTGATCTTTTTCCCTATTTTGACTCCTTTTAACCCCTTTGTTTTTCGTTGCTGTCTTTTTTATATTATTATTATTTCTTCTAGTTAGTGATACTTTTCTTCCCTTCCTCCTTTCCCTCACTATCTATCTATCTATCTATCTATCTATCTATTTATCTATCTATCTATCTATCTATCTATCTATCAATCTATCTATCTATCTATCTTCCTCTTCCTCCCTTTCCCTCTTCCTCTCCTTTCCCTCTCTCCTCGCTCTCTCCTTCCTCTCCCTCCTTCCTCCCCTCCCCTCCCCCATCCGTGACGTTACCGCCTAAAAACAGACTTTACTTAACCGCGATCACTTGAGTCGCTCCCTCGCCATTAATCTCCATTGAATATAATATGACCATTTCTCACCTCCCATTCCAAACACCCTTCTCTCACCCGGCCCGAACGTCGTGGGCAGATCGTAAAAAGCCGAGATTGTAAATAAGATGACCAAGAGAGCGTCAGTCATCCGGCCTGCTTAAGCATCCCCCGACGTGGCTACAAGGAGGGACGGGTTCTAATGAGGACCTGAAATTGATACCGTATTTATTTTCAAAACTCCGCGGGGCTAATAAACCTCGCTAAATTTCATTCCCCTCGGCGGATGCTCTTCAGGTCTTTTTTTACTTTTTCTTTCCTTCTTCTCTTTTTCGTTTTTGGTGTGTGTAGGTGTTTTTTTTTTCTTGTGCCTCTTCTTTTCATGTGTGTGATTTTTCTTTTTCTTTTTCTCTTGCACTCTTTTCTTTGTGCTTGTTTTTTTTTTTTTGAAAGGTAGATCTGATAGCTTTCTCTCTCTCTCTTCCTTCTCTCTCTCTCTCTCTCTCTCTCTCTCTCTCTCTTCTCTCTCTCTCTCTCTCTCTCTCTCTCTTTCTCTTATATATATATATTATATATATATATATATATATATATATATATATATATATATATATATATATATATACATATATATATATACATACATACATACATATACATATATAATATATATATATATATATATATATATATATATATATATATATTCATATCCTTTTATTTCATTTTATTCTTATATTGTCTCATGTATGTATAAATAACTGTAACCCCCATGAATGTAAAGGTATCATGAACACTGCCACATCCACACGTTCTTCATCATGGCCGCTTCACCAAACATAGAACAGAAAGGAAAAAATGTTGACCAACGTCTAGATTTCCTTCTCAAAATATTCCTCACTTTCATTCTGTTTTGTGTTTCGTTTTGCTAGCGTTTCCCTCCCTGCTTTCTGCGGCGGTCGAACACGCGCGCCCGTTCACCACAAACACCTGCTTAGCGACGCCTGTCAACACATTCTCCTTCCCCTACTTACGCACGCTCACCTCTCCGTGTCTGAGGGCGTGTGTGTTTGTCTGTGGGGGCGAGAGGGTGGGGGTCAGGTGACGTGGGTTAGGGGGGGGAGAAGAGTTTTGCGTGTGCGTGTGTCTGTGTGTGTTTTGTGATTTTTGAATGTGTGGCTGTACGTGTGCGTGTTTGCAACTTTGGGTTTAATTGCAGTCAATTCAAAAGTTATTGTGGCCAGTTCTTTTGTTGATGTTTCTTCTTTTTTTCTCTCTCTCTCTTTTTTAGAATATCTGTTTCACCTCTTGAGTCGTGTCCTTTTTTTCTCTACTTGTTTTGCCTCACAATCCCTACTCTCTTCTTCTCGCCTCCCCTCCTTCCCTCCCCTTTCCCTTACTCTTCAGCTTCGAACTCGTCATCAACGTCATTAGGGATCACAGAACGCATTTCACTTATGCATATCATTAGCACTCCACCCATGGAACGCTAGATATTTTAAGAGGCGGGGCTGAGTTAATGACTGAAGGAGAGGACGCGAAGGTTGAATCGCTGGCTATTAGGTAACAGGTAGATAAGCCTTATGAATATAGTAGTTACTACTTTTCTGCTATGAATCTTCTCTTTAGACTAGTGTTGCCAATGGTCTGTATGTTGATGGTGTGAAAAGCGCTTAAAATTCGATGGTGTATGATACTTCACAATCATCACCGCTTCTCAGTAACCAATATCATAAATTTATATCATATTTGATTTTCAAAAAGGGATGAAAAGGCGATCAAACAATACGGGTTTTAATTCGCGGAGATCATCTTCACCGAGTCTGTAGAAAGGGTAACAGTTGGTAGCCCTGGTCTCAAGAGCCCCTGCCGCAGAAGGTAAACAAAGGGTTGGCTGTTATGATACCACGTCTTCGCAACGTAGCGTTCATCTGTCAGACAACTCTTGCAACTGACAAGCCTCACAACAATGACACGGCAATATTTCCTTTTCTTATGTAAACTCTTCATCATCGTCCCCTTAGCTTCTCTTATTGTTATTATCTCCTTTCGTTCTCTCTTTTGGACAAGCGTGCGAAATATGCGCCAATGAACGATGTAGAGAGAGGCCAAAGGCTTGGATCGCGCTTCATTAATCAAGTCAAGTTATAGGGTCATAAATATAAGCGATAAATTCTCAAGAACGACGCATATCATCGAAGGAATCGTTCGTGAAAGCTTTTTCGCCTTGAAAACTAGGGGATCAGATCCTGCGTGCGGCGATTTTTTCCTTTCTTTTCCCGCGCATCACTTCAGACCCGGTTGGTTCCGTCGATGCTTTTCATTAGGTAATTGTCAGATCAGATAAACGATATTATATGTGCGTAATGTTAATAAAGTCGCACGAGGTTTTGTCCTGCCTATAATCTTTCATATCGCATAAATTCTATATTGTTTTACTTCTGAAAACTGAATATAGAGTGTATTGCGTCTTTCCCGAAATATCATTTTACTTTACTGTTCATAAAATAGTGTTTCCGAAAGCATTCGATAATCACGAGCTCATTTTCACTCCTGATAAAAACCTTGGAGTTGGCGTCTCCTCGACAGCGCGCCCTTCCCCGCCTCGCTTTTCTTCCACAATCCTTTCCTTTTCCCGCTCGGCCGATTAATAAACACGCTAATAAAACATCACACGCCCAACTAAACCGAGGCGGAATCGGCCTGGTTTGACAGCCCTTCATGAGAGAGGTCCTCGTGCCGGCTAAGAGTTATAATACCCTCCTTCATGCCCTGAAACTGAAGTGGCTCGAGAATCACAGCCCCATCCTCCTCGATCCCCTACGGCCGAAAATCCCACCCTCGAACCGTAGCTCCGTGACCCTTGGGAGCGGTAGCGGTTGGTTCTTTAATCATATGACACGTTTCAATTCGCTTATCAGAGGATTGAACCTCTTATGCACATTATGAGAGATTTAGGAAGGGTTTCTCCGCCCCAACAGTATTGAGATCAGCGGCTGGAGACCCCGGTGAGCTCGGGTGGCCGCGCGCTCGCTGGACTCGTAAGTGCCACTGCAATAATTTCTAGAACCGAGCTTTTCTCATCATGATATCCTAAATTGGATACATATGACTGCGGGTTTAATCTCCATGGTAAATAGGCGCGCGGAAGGATATAGTATCTTAGCCATCTTTATCGCCGGGGTATTGTAGTGGCGAATCCGAACGAGGAGGGAGAGAGCTCGTTCCCGCCGCCGCTGCTGCCGGCTGGACGCGCCCTGATTGGATGCGAAAGTTAATGGGTTATTGGTCTTGGATGAGCGGTGGGAGGCTCGCGCGGCCGGTCGGTGAGCTCTGCTAAGTGCAGCTGTCCATCCCGAAAATTTGTTGACGCCATTACCATTTTAGTAGGATCTAAAAGAGATGATAATATAAATAATAATCCTGTCTATGCACCTTAAAAATCCTAATAAAGTCCCCATCCTGTCGCAGGTCCCGAGCAGCTGGCTTACCTCCTGCAGCCCTTCCGGAAGCCCAAGAGGATCCGGACGGCGTTCAGCCCGAGCCAGCTCCTCAAGCTCGAGCAAGCCTTCGAGAAGAACCAGTACGTGGTGGGCGCCGAGAGGAAGCAGCTCGCCCAGTCGCTAAATCTTTCCGAAACACAGGTCAGTTTCTTGAAGATCTGGACTTGCCTAGCCTTAGAGGAGTGTGTGTGTGTGTGTGTGTGTGTGTGTGTGTGTGTGTGTGTGCGCGAGCATTATACTACACTATACATGCACACATCAGATCTATAACATATGGGTTCAGCCCATTTGATTCTAGGCAAAATCATCATCGTTATCATTGTAATCATTATTACCAGTATCAGTATAATGGCTGTCATTGTTACTGTCATCATAATAATGAGATGATAAGAATGATGGCCATACAAATGCCAGTAACAGTGAGTACGATACTAACATGGATATCAATATTATTATTATCATTATTATTACTATTATTATCAAATTACTATTATTATTATTATTACTATTGTTATAATTTGTCTTATTATTATTACTATTGTTATCATTTTTATTATTATCATTATATCATTATATCATTTAATTGTTATTATCCTTATCATTATTATTATTCTTATTGCTATTGTAATTATTCATTCTATTATTATCATTATTATTTTAATCATAATTATTTTCATCATTATTATTATTATTATAATCATCATTATTATTATTGTTGTTGTTGTTGTTGTTGTTGTTGTTGTTGTTGTTGTTGTTGTTGTTGTTGTTGTTGTTGTTGTTAATATCATTATTGTTAATATTATTATTATCATTATTATTATTATTAGTAGTAGTAGTACCATTATTATTATTATGCTATTATCGCTGAAATTGCCATTAACATTATTGTTATCATCATCATCATCATCATTATTACCATTATTATTATTATATTATTATTATCTCATTTTTATTTTCATTATTATTATTATTTGATGATAACAGTAAGGATATAACAATAATAACATTATTAATTATTATTATTATCATTATTATCATTATCATTATCATTATTATCATTATCATTATCATTATCATTATCATTATCATTATTATATCATATTATATCATTATTATTATTATTATAAGATGAATAACGATAATAATGATAGTAATAGTAATAGCAATAATAGTTGTTGCCGTAATGAATTATTAACAGTGAATGGATTCGATCTTCAGGTCTCACTTGTCTCACTTACTTCAATAGTATTAATAATAAAAATGATGATGATGATGATGATGATGATGATGATGATGATGATGATGATGATGATGATGATGATGATGATGATGATGATGATGATGATGATGATGATGGATGATAATAATGATGTCAGTAATGATATATAATTATAAATAATGATAATAGTAATGATAATGAGGGTGATGGTCATACAAATAAAAGTAATAGTTATGATTATAATGATGATGATAACAATGATGATAATATTGTAATAAGGATTATAATGATGATGATAATTGTGACAATATACTACTACTATATGAATAATGATAATGATAACTAATAAATAATGCTGATGATGGTAATAAATAATAATAATAATATGGTAATAATAATAGTAATAATGATAACAACAACAACAATAAAAATATTAATAACGATAAAAGTAATAATGTGTTAAACAACATTGACAGTGTTAATGGCAATTCTATCATATAATCAATAGCTGTATATATAGCAATTGTTCAAATACAACTAATGATCATAACGATAATGATGAAAACATTATCAGTGATTATAATTCGATTTTGCGGTAGAAAAGGGCTAGGAAGGCTATAAGTATAATGATGATAACAATAAAAATTATAACACTATAGTATTAATGATAGTGGGTAGAAGGAATGAATGATAATGTTGGTAATGATTACAGTACAAATACTGCGCACGTTATCGGTATGAAATGCGAAACGCCAGTGACGTGAATTATCCGTAACGAAAGTGTGCATCCATTCGCAGGTGAAAGTGTGGTTCCAGAACAGACGGACGAAGGAGAAGCGGATCCAGCAGGAGGACGAGGGCGAGGGCGGCGGCGGCGACGGCAGCGGGGGCGCCGGAGATGGAGGCGCATCGGGAGGCAGCGGCGGAGGAGGCGGAGGGAGCAGCGGCGCGTCGGAAAAGTGTTCCTCCGCGTCCTCGACCTCTCCCGAAGGAACGTCGAAGCCCATGGAGGAGGAGGAAGAGGATGAGGAAATCCTGGAGGACTCGGAGGAGGAAGGTGTGGGCGGCGGCCGTCTCGACCTCACCACTGGCTGAGGCCCCTTTCCCGCCCACTGAAGACGTGCCCACTTGAAGCCACGCCTGCGAATTCCCGCCCATATCTCCTGACCGCGGCACATGGCACAGCGGCGGGCGGAGGGACTGCCCGTCTCTTGCACTACAAGGACCTTGTCTACGCTCACGGTGCTGTGCGTGTGTGTCTGCGACATGTACATGCATGTACATTTATAAACGCTCTATATTTGTCATGATGCACCTCTTGCGTGTATGGATACATATATTCTCTGTATTGATGAGTAAACCTCTACGGCGATATAAATGAACACGTAAAAAAGTACATTGTGTGCACCTGTCTTATTGGAGGATTGGTCTCGAACGCTGAAAAGAGACCTTTATGATGCATTTACACACGAACGGTAGGAAGTGCAGGTGCCAACTGGCGAGAGTGGCCGGCGAAGGAGGGCGTCGGGATGGAGGCGGGCGAGAGGGCTTGAACTAGTCACGGACAAACAGGACTGCCTCGGCATTGTGCTTACCGCAAGAAACGGTAATAATGGATTGATCACGCGGTGTTTGCCCGCGAATGGACTCGAGTGAAACCTGTTCCGCCGTGCGTTCCGTTGTGCTTAGCTTGGGTGTCATACACCTTGAGGGAGCGAGGTGGAACAACAAAGGGAAATCGCGTTCAGCAGCAGGTGACCCGTGAAAGCAAAATGGTGCAAGAACAAGGGAATCAATCAAGAGTCTCTCCTCGCGAGACGAAGACGCCTCTTGGTACCCTTCCTCTGACCCCGAGCCCGACGGCGTGTAAGACTCGTGCCAAAGTCTGTGAACTGTGCATTGCAGACGCACCTGACATCAGACGATTCATTGATAAGACAGAAGATTAACACAGCTTTGTATTATAAGTGTCGAGGCCTAATACTTACTACATTCCTCCCATTATGTTCTGCGTTGTTAGTTATAAATAACAAGCCGTTGTGAATGCCCGAGTGAGTGATGTGCAACTTTCGTGATGTCATCAGTCGCCTAGCGACCATCCATTTTCCCGATAGTTGGAAAAGAAAGCAACTATCGTGGTCCTCGATACCTGTTCCATATTTTGAAAAGTTAAAGGGATATGATTATGCTTTATTGAATAAGGTTTCATCTTTATTTTGGGATGTTTGACCGGCACTTGCATGACATTACTTTTCAGGCAGGAGAGAGCTAAAAGTGATATCTAGTTTTTAATCTAGAAGCCAAAAGGGTTTCGAACCGCTTCTCCAAACCTGGAAGTATTTTCATGAAGTCCCAAAAAGTGTAGGTAGATCCAGGAACGTTTAGCATCGGGGACCACATGCAGTGGTTCAAATATTAAACAATGATGTGATTGGTCAAATAAAAATAGCTTTATGATATTTCCTAGATGTATTTTTATATATGCAATTCCCTCTGTTGTATATGAATTATTTAATGTTTTCTCTGTACGTTCTCTTCTGTACTATTCTGTGGCGTTGTGATATTTTTGAGTGAATAAATTATGACCGGATGAGAGGCAGTCTATTCACGGTTATTCATAAATATACGATTCAGCATTAACATTAATTTTGTTCATTGGTTCTAAGAGAATGGTTCACAAACGATATACCACCAGGTGCGAGACTGATCAAATTGATTAAAAGCCGTACGAGTGCATTCTTGCAAGCCATTGCTATAATTCATAATTTTCCCAAGAAATTAAAATCTTACTACCGAAGGCATTAGAGACATGAAGTTGCAATTAGGTCAATGGACAGTACTTGTCGCTTATTTTTCGTTCATTTTGAAAATCTGCAAACCCCAAGACATGTAACTGATAATTAAAACACATACACATACTTGCATGGACAAACACAACACACACACACACACATAGACTAACACACACATACACACACACATATTGTGTTTGTGTGTGACTCTGTGTCGTTCAACTTGTCGACCGCCGACATCAGATCCTGTTCGTTGCATTAGTTTAAGATAGCATACTGTAGTTTATTCAAACACACAGAAGTAAGAAAAAAACAGAGTGCGCCCTTAGTCACCTCCACTACCATCAAACTTTTCTGTTGCTACAGATAATAATGATGAGGCTCGTGTCATCTTCATTCTAGTCGATCTTACTTTGGTTCAATTTCTCTCACTTCCTTTTTCTTATCTTCATTTATCCTCTTGCCCTGTTCGCACAACGTATTAGTACCATTGGATTCGAACGTATTATGCAAGGTCTCGAATCCTTGCAATGGCAGATGTTTGCATAGGAAATATCACCCCCTTAACAGCTCGAATGGTAAGCCTCTAGCTACAGACACAGCAAACTTGTTCATACCACTACACGGCTCATCTCGTAGGCACGGAGGAACAGCAAGTTTGTTCCTCTGGCAATTTCAGGATAGCTATATCTGGATTTTAGATGTGGAAAATTCTGAGGTCAAAGTTGCAGAGACAAACTATGGCATAAGAAAAGGAGGCATAAGCAAAGGACTGTCTAAATAGATTCACCAAACAACTGTGAACCAAAGAGATTAACTTTAAGCTGTGTAACTACGAGTGCGTTGCTAACATCTTCCAGGAGACCGGAGTGTACTTCATTCCGACCGTGAAAGAAGAAGAAATAAGAGAAAGAAGACAGAGATGTAGGATGTAGGGAAGAATAATGAGAAAAGCTTGGATGGCCATAGTAGAAGAGTTGTGCCACCGATGGCATCACTTCCTAAATAAGTGGTACAGTAAAGTAGTGTGATGTCCCCCCTATTCCTGGATGGGAGGGTAAGAATGGTATGGTATGAACAGGATGGCCATCGTGCATAGATGCCAATTAGTGCTCAGTTTTCTTAAAAGAAGTACTACTTTCTGATACACAAGAACTGCCATAATGCGGCCGAAGACTTTGACCGATATCAGTAACAAGTATTGCGTATCTGATAGTGTTGTTCAAGAACAACATTACCAATTGATTTTCCCGGTTTGCCTCATTATTATCTATATTGTCATTCTCATTATATCATTACTATTATTATTGATATTTATATTATTATCACAATCATCA